TTTACAAATATATGGCCCTGGATCATATAACAAAGTCCTCTAAATATTTCATTTGATAATATAAATTACTATCTTTAAAATATCTCTCCCAAATTTAGTAAGAAGTACAGAGTAGTTTACTTACAATCATACATACTGTATAATTCTGCATCAGACCCTTAAAAAGCAAATACACTGAAAGATCTTGCCTATAGTATAGAAGTAAACTATAAAGCTTTATTTTTGGTGCTAACTTATTTTTCTAGAGATAACAGAATGTTATAGTCTGTTGGATGTGTTTATCTTTACTAGCATTACAATGAAGCTCATCTATAGTTTATTAGATTAAGTAGTAGGTCTAAATACATTCAAGTATCAGATTATTTTAAAATAAGCACTAACTTATAATCTTTTATCCATCAATATTAGACTTCTCACAATATTTTTATGATGATAGAACAAAACAAACAAACAAAAACATGAAGGTCCTAATACCATATTTGGACATTGAAGGTTTTATAGGGAATGCACTAGAATTTGGGGGGTAATTGTTTTATTTCACTTGTTTGGTTAAATGGTTTTATGACAAAACTGTATAGCTGCTAAATTCGTTAAGTTTAAAATCTTACACTTTTTAAGGAAGCATAAATAAGTATAGCTCTTATATGGGGATCCTCATCGTTCTAATAAATTGAGCTAGTGAGTCAGTCACTTAATGGAAATGAATTGAACTGGGTGCAACTCCAAGTGTATCCACTGGAAGTAAATGAATGCCCTGAATTCTGTGGAAAGCAACTGGACTGTGTCACACAAGCATCCAAAGAAAACAGGTGGTGATTTCCGATTTCCCAGGTGAGGATTACAATCAAGTTGCAATTGTGACTCTCTCCTGTGGAAGAGCAAATACGGATTGTTCTTTATCGCCATGCTCTGCTGGTGTTCTGTTTGCTGCAGACACTGCTTTTCAGGCGACATCTCCTTTACAGACAGATAAATTCATCCTTTTGCCAAGGACATTTGTAATTGTCAGAGCCTTTGCTGCTTCCTTTGACTGGAGTGAATCAGCTGTTTAACTAAACAGTAAGAAATCGCTCACACATTTCTCCTTTCTTCCACCAGCTGTAGCTTTCTTTCACGCTTTATGAAATGCCCCCTGCTAATCAAAGCCAAATAGTGCATGATGGACTTTCCTGAAAGCGAAAATGTTTTCATTCCAAGTACAAAACATTTTAGCAGTCTGTGATTTAATCTCTGCTCTTTGTTTTTCCTTATCAAGTGATTAACAAGCTGAGGCAGGGACCATTCGTTTTTCTGATTCATACACTACCATGCACTTTGATTTCCTTCATATGAAGGTTGCATATGATGGTGCCTTGTGGTACGTACATTAAGGAAAAGATGAGTGATCATAAAGGAAAATACAAAGGGCATTCTGCCGTATGGAAGAGAACTGAGAATGTGAGGTTTAATAGAGACTCAGGGGCTTTAGAGCTGGGGAAACTTGCGAATAGACTTTAGGCTGGCCAGCTTATCTGTTCTAGATGTCTACATCCTAGGACATCACTTTATGGCAACCAACACTATCCACCACTCATCTACCTCATTAATGTTTTTGAATCAGTTCCTGTCTGCTGAAAACCTCATATTATATTTGGCAGCATTTTCTGTTTTTTATAGCAGTAAGATGATATGTATCTTTCAATGAAGCAGATATATTCATTAAAATATGGTAACTTTTATGAACTTGCCTTTCATCTTGGAAAATGAATTTTTGGTTTCTACCTCATGGGAGTGGATATACATTTTACAAGTGTAAAGCACCTGACACATAACATGAGTTCATTGAACATTTGTCATGATTTGCATTTTTTCTCAAGTATAATCACTGCAATGGTTGTGAAACAGAAAATCATTGTAAGAAGTGACTTATCAAATTTCCACAGTTGAAAATAAACTATGAACTAGTGCGAACTTTCAAATTTTTTTTTCTTATTCTTTGAGAAAAAGATGGGGGAATATTTAAAGGAGAAATATTCCTTTGTTTTGTCTGTTTCCTTTCCCTTTGTAAGTAAATATTTTGATTGTAATATCTCCAGGACATATGGCAATCATACAACTATCATTCCACAATGTGTTGTTAAGATATAAGAAAGACAGGGCACTCCCTGATGGCACAACAAGTTAAAGAACAGCACTTCGAAGCTAGCCTCAGCCACTGCAGCTGATACCTCCCCAGGGGGTTGACCCACATGGCATGGCAGACCTCTCCTGACCCACCTGCTGCTCCCTTCACCAGTATACTTTGTCCATTGGCCTGTTCTGCTCCTCACTATGTCTGGTGAATCCTCTCACTGCCTCTGCATCTCTGGCCTGTACCCCAGTTATATATGCAAAGTTAAATAAAGCTTTGAAAAAAAGATATAATAAAGATAAATACTCTAGTTCCTAAATAGACAGCACTGCTTGTAAATTACTCAAGGAACAGTCAGAATAGTTCATTGGATTATATTCATTCCCTAGAACTGACAAATCCCATAACAGTCAAGGAATTCTATACATCTTTATCAAAATTAAAATTAGAACTATTTGTTACATACTGATATGATAATTAGTTAAAATGTATTGTTCTGAATTTTAAAATGCAATGACAATGTATTAACACTATTGAGGTGAAATGGAACATTAGTCAGTGCTTAAATTAAACTAGATGATATTTTGCATATTTTAGAGTTTTACATATGTTGGGGTTTATATGAAACTGCTCATGTTTCACTTATTCCTATACCTCAAAAGCCCTTAAAGTGAGATTAGGGTGATTTGGGTGGCGAATAAACAATCTTAATATCATTGACACTTGTTCAACCTTTGATCTAATTTATATGGATCATGCCAGCACTAATTTCTGTTCTTAATAAGTGCTGCTTTTGTAAATATTTTAGGTTTTTGAGTTCCTGGCACTTTTATACCAAATACAAATTTCTTTTGATATTTACCCTGCAGCCACTTATTTTTCTATATAAATGAAAATGAATGAATAAATATTACAAAATGAGTACATGAGTAGGGAAAATGGTGGTGAAAAGAGTAGTCAAAACAAAGAAATCAAACACTTTTCTATAAAAGTAGCACACGATTGGAAGGGAATATAAGCAAAACCCGTGAAAATCCTATTTCCTGTGGATGACAATTTATATTTTTTCCTCCTATCTTATCTCTCCATTTCCATTCTTTATCAAACTCAGATTCCAATTTGGTTAATTTTAATTCTACAGAGGAAAGAAGTCAGATGAGTTCATTAAAAACAAAAACAGGGCCCTCCCTGGTGGTGCAGCGGGTTAGGGCACAGCACTGAGAATCTGAGGCCGCTTCCGTATGAGTTCGATTCCCGCCTGCCGCCTGCCCAGGAGGAGACCACATGGCGAGCCAGACCTCTCCTGGCCCGCCCGCTGCTCCCCTCAGCAGTGTACTTCGTCGATCTGCCTGTTCTGCTCCCCACTCTGTCTCTGGTGAAGCCTCTCACTGCCCCTGAGCCTCTGGCCTGTACCCCACTTCTGTATGAATAAATAAATAATTTTTAAAAAAAAAAAAAAACATTTTGTTCACTTGATTGTTGTTGATATTGATTGATAGACTATAGTTCCTGGATTCTGATCTCAACAGGGTGGTTCCTAGACCTACAATATAAAGACCTGCACAACATGACCACATCCAACGGAGGAATCAATCTGTAGGGAATATGTCACTCTCAGAAATGATGATGAGATGAATTTGGAAGAGTTATGAAAACACTTGACACAAAAGCATACAAATAATTCTTAAATCTACTAAGGAGTTGTCAGAAGGTTTGCCAATGTGACTAGACCATGACTCACTGATTTCATTCTGTAGTACGTACCTTACAGACATTTTTGTCTTTTGAACAGGAGACATGTTTAAGATTAATCCAAGTATCATACTTTCATGCACAGTGAAACAGGAAAAACAGAGCTTATCAAAATCATGGATGACTAAATTGTGGAATATTACCAGTGGAATATTATGGCATCAGTTGAAATAAACATAGATTAATGAACTAAATTGACAAGCATAATGCTGAGTCCCAAAAGTAACATATTAATAAATATGACATAAGCCTTTAATTACCTTAAAACTGGTAAAATGAAAACCATATTATAAAATATATGAAATACAATATATACACAAAATTTTATAAAATTGAAAATTTTACTTTCCAGTATTTATTGTAGTTACCATATATACCATATATAATATGAATTTTGCATGTATAAAATGTAAGAAACATTTAAAAATCAAAGTAAAAAACAATGTAAATCCCTTTAAATATATATGATAATGAAAGTATTTGTTTTTATGTAAGTAGGAATTCGGATAATCTCTACTAAAACAATTTTGCAGCATGTATCAAACATTTAAAAGTGTTTATATATTTGTCTGAGTATTATCACTTCCCTGAATTCTCCCAAAAATATGGTTAAGGATATGCAGAGAGGTGGAGCAATTACTCTGCATTATAATATAAAAATAAGAACAAAAGCAGATGTTTCACATTTAGGGAGTGGTATATCAGTAATGTTATGTCCTAAACACTGGACTTTTATGCTATCATTAACATAAATAAACAAACAATTCAGTCTGCCAATAATGTTAATTTCAAGACTTTACTTCTCTCCCAGGTTAATACAGCCTACCTGGCTTCTAAAGATGCTCCCTTTAAGTTCTTAGCATTTCAAATTTGTATTCTATACTTATATACTTGCTATTTTGGAGGAATATATAAGGTGTATATCCTTTGTTTTAGTTTCAATTTATAATTTCACACCATGTATACATTTAAAACATATTGCTTCAAATGTAATTACCTAATTTAATCACATGTAGTAGGAATTACAAATGGTGTATCTTAAATGTTTTTCAATGAACGGAAAGCACTTGTTTGTCTTGATTTGTGGTCCTTAGAAAATAAAGCAGTAAAAGATTTCACACTTTTTGGATAGTCATACCTGAGATATCCAGGTAAGGTGAGGGCTTGAAGCTGTAGGTCACTCCCAGACTTCTGACGTCAGGATAGACTGGTGCTGTCAATCTGGGGATAAGCACAGAAAAACCTGGTCAATCAAATATCAGATCCATGCATAAAAGTCTTGGCTATATTAAGCAAGGAAATATCTACATAGTCCTAGCAGAAAGCCTGCCTGCCAACTATATGTTAGTTGGCACTAGAGACTGAGGCCTGTTTTTGGTGTCTGGAGTGGGAATGGATGTTTTGTTATCTGGTAAATGTGGTCAAGTTTAGTGTGGGTTAATTTGCTGTTATTAGAATCGGTGGACTAAGTAGCATAGTAAATACAAATGTGGGTGGTAGCATGTGTGTGTGTGTGAGTAATCTTTCACAGACCAATGCTATAATGTGAACTGAGATAAATAATCAATTTTCTGTACATGAGGTTTAAAACAAAAAATCAGTCACCCTATAAATAAGCATAAGTGTACTTCAGAAAAACACACATAAATTTGTCCTGGAAATTTATTTTAGAAGTTGATTATAAAATTTAATTAAGTTTAAAGTAATTATAAAACTTATTTCTATTAGAAAATAATGCCTTGAGCAAAATGCTTGAACAAAGATTGAATCAGATTATTCGGCAGGCTTATTGTTTGTTGAATTATTCAAAATAAAATGCTTCCAAATTAATACATGTATACCTTAAATTTATACAATATTATACATCAAATGTATTTCAATAAAATGCACAAACTAAAATGTTTCAGTAGTGCATGCCTTTGTGTTACAAAACTCATGTTTATTATAAAACTCAGTTCAAAATCTAAATCTGCCATTTGAAAGCCATGGGGCATTCTAAAATTTCTCATTAATAAGAAAAAAAAAATTAATAATAAAAATAGTAACTATTTTGAAAACTTGCAGTACACCAAGCATACTGGTATTGAAAGGTTAGTGTGGATTCTTTAATGATTGAAATAATTTAGAATCCTTTAGAATAGGTATGCCAATCACCATTTTACTTATTAGGAAAATGAGGTAGGTATAATAAAAAATTAGGCAAGGTCACTATTAGTCAAAGAACAAGACTTCTAAGCCTGCATTTTTCAGTCACTGTATTAAATCTTCCTCTAGTTAAAGGAGAACAGTATTAATAGACACATCAAAACGGAAGGCTAGTGTACACAGGCACACAATCATCTATGTCTGCAAGAAAATAAGTTTTGTTGGGCTGTTATTGGAGAAAGGAAGGATAAAGACACATTCAAAAAATGAATAGAAATATCTTTTAGGGCCCTCCCTGGTGGCGCAACAGGTTAAAGCACAGCACTGTGAAGCTATTTAGGCCACTGTAGCATGAGTTCTATCCCCGGACAGGCAGGTGACCCACATGGCATAGTAGACCTCTCCTGATCCACCCACTGCTCCTCTCTGCACTTTATTTCAAGCGCCTTTTCTGTTCCTCACTCTGTCACTGGTGAATCCTCTCACCCTCCACCCCTTTTATCTCTGGCCAGTACCCCAGTTCTTGTATGCATAAATAATCTTTAAAAAAAAAAAGAACGAAAAAAATATATTTTATATTCTCCAGTCTTAAATAAGCTCTGCTATTTTGTGTTCCAGCAAATAGAGAATGGTTGTTGAAAATCCCTTTAGTGGATTTACGTATTTGCATAAGTATATCTGTATTAGTCAGAAACGGCTGAATATAAAACCCTAAAAATGAAGTTTAGTTCATCAGAACTGAATTGCTAAAAACTGACTTGTTTTTGTATGTTCCACATTCTTAAGAAAAGGGAATGTGCCTGCTTGTCCACATCAGCTAGAAAAGGGGGTTAATTATCCAAATTTGGTACACTATTGCCCTCTGGGCAAAGGTACCCACTGTCCTTTTATGTAAATAAAGCTTTATTGGACACAGTCTTGCTCATTATATACTAATAGCTTATGGTTGATTTCCTGATAAAATGGCATAATTGAATGGCCTTGCTATGAATTTTTAGGGGGAAAAGTCAGCTGAGTCATCTTTTGACCCAATAGAGGCAATTCTCAATGGTGACTGATTTTGTTGACCCAGGTTTAAGCTAATCATTGGTCAATTGTGTTGGGTTGAGAGTGAGAATATGAGCCAATTTAGACAATGAGGCTAGAGCATAGGTTTGCTGAGTGTATATGAAGAGACCTTAACCAACATGCAATGATCAACGTGTCACACCAAAGATAACGCCCTCCAAGAACCTCACAATATGGCCTTACTGGAAATAGGGCCTTTGCAAGTATAATTAGTTGAGAATCTTAAGAATCCTAATGAATATAAAGTGGAATTTAAATTCAGTGACTCATGTCATGTCATCGTGAGAAAAGGACACAGAGGCGTAAGAGGGGAAAAGTTGTCAAAGCAAAGATAAACTAGTGAAAGCTAGAGTCAAGGAAGACATTATTAAAGGGAATTGTAGTAACAGAGAGAGGAGCCAAATCTCAGTCTGAGCTGAATTCTTCCACTAAAACAAATGAGAAGAGAATTCTGTTTTATTATTGAATATATTTGACAGGCCACTTATGAATTTAAAGGGTATTACATGTTAATTTGATACATTTATATATTGAAATATAATTGTCATTATAGTGATACTTAGCATCACTGTCATATTATATAATTACCATTCCTTTTATCAAGAGAGTTCTAAGTGCTGGGGTTGGAGTGAAGTGGGATGGTGTAAGATGGGTTGGCCACCCAAGTGATGTCCTTTATTGACCTCACCTGAAGCAAAATTATACTTGCTTTTAGCAACTTGACAGGAGGTACTTCTACAGGAAGTTGGGTAGCAGCTAGGTAACCTCCCCCAAATCAGCCTTCTTACCTTCCCACAGGTACTGGGCAATGGGAGCTGTCTCTTATTTGAGGATTGCATTCCACAAATGTTTTGAACAAGACTCTTTTAGTTTGTCAAGAAAATATGAAATATATTCACATTGCAATGAGGCAGAAAAGCAATCATAACCACAAGTTTTCTAAAATCTGTTCTAATATGTGCCTATCTAAATATTTAAGGGCCAGGAAGAGAGGGAATAAAAGGGTCCAGAAACCGGAAGAAGTCTGTCTAAAATTTAGTCTAGCTAGGGAAAACCTTAAGGTTGTAATATTAAAGGCCAAGTGGGGCAGAGAATGGCTATATGCTGTCTGCCACAAGGTAAGCAAGACTAGACATCCCAGGATTCTGGGAGCTAGAGGAGAAAATATCCTAGATAGCAGGTCCTACTGACATCTTGGTTTGGGCCTTCAGTCATATGACATGTGAGCATCCATTTTAAGACAAGCAATTTGTAGTGCTATGTTGTCAGCAGTCTTAATCCTTCCTACATGTGAAAGCAGTCCTGGAAGTTCTTAGAGCAACTGTATATCAAGATTAACTGAAACCACTGAGAAAACTCAAGAATAGAGAAAGCAGATCTTAATATCATCCATGGCATGTAAAATTAAATCAATATCATCAATCTTGACCTTTCCTTCTATCTTAATGTTCTGTCAGGCATATATCCCATTTATATTGATGCAATTTTATCAAGGAATTCAGTTACTTGCAGATAAAACTATCATAATTGATACTGTGATCTGCATGATTCAAGAGAGCTACCTGACACAAATGACAGTGTGAACTGCACTTTCTGCAGCAGGTCAAAGCTGCAGCCTGGCTTGGTTTCTGATAGTCACTGTGCTCTTCAGCAGGATAACCAGCAAGGAAGCCTGAAGACTCTGTGGGGCTCAGGATTACCAGTAACGTCTCCTAGAGTGTTATACTGTAACAATCAAGTAGCACATAAGGGCTATTTTTGCAAATTACATAATTTCCCTGAAGTGTTATTTAATTTGTTAAAATGTATATAATGATTTGCACATGGTTATGAGGATTAAATGAGAAAGAAAAAGCATCGCACATTAAAAAATAATAGATTTGCTGAGAACCTAAAATTTGATGTTGTTGCTATGACAATGATTGCAATGGTTTTTCTTTAAATTCTTACAGAGAATATCAAATCACTGCAGTTTAAACAAACAGTTGCTATAATTGTATGCAAGGAGTAACTGGTAGCCACAACGCTTTGTTTACCTCAATGTGATTATCATCAAGTCTGAGCACAATACGCAAAATGCATTTATCCATTTTTGAATGAAAAGGATGCTGGGCAAGAAAGGTTAACGTGGTTCAGTATCTAATAAGTAGGCAAGTGATCTTGATAAAATGAATAAGGAACCAATACCAACATAATCATATATTAGAGGGGCAATTGGAGAATCTTACTCTTCTAAAAGACTCACAACGATAGAGTTATATTTATCTGACTTCCAGACTTAGTAGACACTAATTTTTATACAAGATAGCACAATCGAGTGATTACAAGAGACTGACAAGTCATTTTGAGTTGACAGACCAATCAAATAAATGAAATGTGTGTATATAATACAAGCATGAGATGTTTAAAAAGTGAGCTATCAGGGCCCTCCCTGGTGGCGCAGCAGGTTAAAGCACAGCACTAAAAAGCTAAAGCCACTTCCGCATGAGTTCAATCCCCACCCTGGGGGTGACCTGCATGGCACTGCAGACCTCTCCTGGCCTGCCCGCTGCTCCCCTCAGCAGTGTACTTCATCAGTCAGCCTGTTCTGCTCTTCACTCTGTCTCTGGTGAATCCTCTCACTGCCCCTGCACCTCTAGCCTGTATCTATCCCAGCTATGTATGCATAAATAATTTTTTTTTTAAAGTGAGCTATAAAAGGGGGGAGAATACATCTCAAACAATGGTTCTAGGAAATCTCAGTATCTGTATAGAAAAAAAAATGTTCTTCCATATCTCATTTTTTATGTCAAATTAAATATGAAGCATAAATTATACTGTAAAATATTTAAAAATGTACAAGATAATGATGAAAAACATTTTGAGTTTTAATTACATGTATCTTAAACAGCTATAACCTAAATTCACAATGGAAAAAGCATGCTTCCTGAGAAATGCAATTATAGTTATTTGGTGATTTTTTATTTCTTCTTTTATCACTTCCAAGAGATGCTTTTACTCTTTCAAAA